AAGTGCGGTCCGCATCACCATAATGACGCTAATGATTGTATCTTTTGATCAAATAAACTATTCTTATTTCCAAAGTATGGTTTCATGAAAATATGCGACACAAGTATTACGAGAAAGGCTCTTGCGTCGGTAATATTTTAAACTAAGGACCCGTGCTTCCGCGTCTTACCATTTATCTTCAATTGTCATTCTTTTGTATCTGCCATGATGGTCAAGGGCGTCGACAGGACTGGGTTCATTCATCGTGTCACGTCTGGATATGAGGCCAGGGAGGTCATTTGGGTAGGTCAGGGTGGGGCATTTGCCCCCCCCCCTGAATTTGCAGGTTTATTTAAATTGCTATGTACTGTGGCGTCTCCAGTAATAAACAAATTAACAAGCCGACCAAGTTTTGCCCCCCTCCCCCCTTTTGGCCCCTTGGAATAACCTGAAATGACGCCCCTGTGTGGGGGGTGTAACTATCTGGCACGGTACTACTACTAGCAGTAACAGTACCACCATGCACATTTCTATTTTGGTTCCATTTAATGTGTAGGTCACATTAACCGGTAGTTTTTTTGTTGTTTTTTTTTTGTTGTTGTGTTTACATAACAAGTACGTGGTTTAGGTATCCAGCGCTGACAGCCTGCGTGGCATATTTAATACGTCGAGACCATCACCAACCCTACTGACACTGGCACAGACAGAGAGAAACGATCGACCCCCATCCACAGGAACGAAAATGTCAGGGGGAGAATATCGATCGTCTGCTAGCGCTGGAAGGAAACGACTTTTCTCACAAGCCTCTCCCCCCCCCCGCCCTTTTACCCGCCCGCCCTGCACTGCTTCTCTCGTACAACGAGGCTCGATCAGACGACCGGGAGAGCTCTGGTTTATTCTCATACAATGACCCGTTAATGACATGAGGCATTCGGGAGGCAGGTGCGTTCCTTAATGTATTCCTCATGTTCGGTGTTAGGAATTCTCTTTTCGTGCGCACTTTGATTTCTTCATCCCCATCGCTGTCTTGGCCTCGGTGTTCGACGGTGCAGTACTAAATTGTTCTCCGTTCAAGTTATGCTTCCGCGCCGACTTTAATTCTATACAAGGTTTCCGGGTTAACCGAAAGGAGGAAATAATTTAAAGAAAATAGATATCCAGTGCCCCAGCGTGTGTGCTGCCCAACTGTGAGCGACAGTAGAAGTGAAGAAGTCGTGTGTAGTGATTTCATCATCATCATCACCCCGTGTTTGTTTATACTCAGCCTAATCTACAACCGTGGATTCCGTGAGGGTCGGTTCATCCAGTGTTTATTTCACCTGAGCTCAGGTCACCTGCCAGTCCTGGAATAAGGTGGTTCAATCTTAATTTGCATATTCCCCCCCTTCCCAACCCCCCTCCTCCACTTTTCGTCGGCGATTCGCCATTATGTGATTCCCGCTTTGTCAGCGCAGTTGCTTGTTGTGAGAGTCTTTCCGCCTTTCTTTTTTTGTCCCTTAACATTTCGTAGAACGCGGCTTCTCACTTGATCGCGCGCTTGTCTTGGTCTCACTGTCACGCGAGCGCTGGGTGTTTTCATCGGATTGTTCGTGGGATTCTTTTCAAACTATGATGTGAATAAAGGTAAGATTTTTTTTTTTTTAATTTATAATAATAATAAACGAATAAAATGGATGTTACCTATAACTTAAAGGCAGTAGACCCAACAGACAGTGCATAGGGGTTATTCGCCAGACAAGGGCATCGCTTTGCTTGTAGTAGAGTAGAGAGCGGCAGAAAGGTAAAGGCCGCGTTGAACTTCACTGCTGACTCTTGTGGTGTTTATATTACTTGACATGTTATATGCCCTAGGCCCTTGACATTAATTTGGGACTGTTGTGTCATGTGACCGGTTTTGAAACTGTATATTCAATGCCGGACTCTATCAGGATTTAAGAGTGAAACTAGACTATACACGATAGTGTTAATCGGTAGACTGGGCACGGGGCATCAACGAAAAAGAATGCTTTTTACGTGTGGGGGTATATAAAAAAAAGAATTTTTTTTTTTTAAAGAGGGGAGAGGTAGTTTGTATTTTGCCCAATGAAATATGCAGCTTTACAGATACGCCCCCTCCCCTGCCCACCCTCTTTTAAAGGAATGACCCTTCTTAGATATGAAACGAAGTTGCAATATCTATCAAATCTATGGCTAATTCTTGTGTATGATGAGGTGGGTGGGAGTGTAATTATTTTCATTAGAAAATGTTAAGTTTGGTAGGGAATGTACCTCTCTCAGGCATAGTCGGGATTTAATGTTAATAAAATAGTTATGGGGGACACGTGAATTGTTGAATGAAGTGTAGGGGGATTGGTGCACAGCCTAGTGGCACAGCCAAGTCTTTTGTTTGATATTGGTTGCATCATGAATCTGGGGGGGGGGGGGGGGGGGGGCCGCTGTCACGGGCGTTTTGTGGTTTTTTTTCAGCCTACGTAAGCAGATCCGTCATAAGTTATAAGTTTAGGCATTAGTGTTTAATAGTGATTTGACGGGTAGAGCATGCCACTGCCAAATCTCTTTTCATTGAAAAGGCCAGTTATGGTACGCAATTGATCTAGGCCATGGTCCTGTGCTGTTCACTGGTAGTCGGCAGGTTCCAACCGCTTATTGGTTTAATTAAAAACATCATACTTAGTAGGAAAGTGCTTTCATGTTGTATATCATTCAGTGGTCCTCAAATTGGTGACAGTGCAGTGACATGTCTCAATACTAAGGTCCACTATTTTTTATTTTAATTCTTAGATTAAAATAACTAAAAGAATACTAGTTTTAAATAGAAAAAAATTAAAGGGATTTTAGTAAGGTATGAGGAGAAAATGGGGGGGGGGGGGGTAAATGCTGCCCTTGCTCGCACTCCAGACGCCCTTGCCATGGAGGGAGGGGACCTTTCTGTGTTAAAACAACTGTTCTCAACAAAGCTTAAGGCTGAGGTTTGAATGAATACCTTAGAAAATACATGTAATTTGAATCGTAATACGTCGGCAATCGTAATTTTGTATTTAGATGAACACGGCAGATTTAGATCGCGATCATTTTTCGTAACAAGGCTGTCGTCCATGAGTCGCCAAACTAGTTGGTCGTCTTTTGACATTTTTGAGAACTTCATCACTCAGCACTGTATCACTGTTATTTAATGCGTATCACTGTTATTTAATGCGTATCACTGTTATTTAATGCCTGGTTGTCGACCCTGAATTATTATAATTTTAAGTTAAATAACACGTTGAAGCACGTGTTAAGTTTGTTAGTCTCAACTTTGGCCCCGTGTTAACTTGAAGTCTTTATAAACATTAGATCTATAGCAAATACTGAGTGAAAATTTTAGATTTAAAAAAAAAAAATTTGTAAAGATCAAGTGCCATATGTTTTTAAGATTTAGAACATGCGTGTGTTCTCTCTCTCTCTCTCTCTCTCTCTCTCTCTCTCTCTCTCTCTCTCTCTCTCTCTCTCTCTTCCTCCCACCCTCCTATTTTTCTTTTTTTTAAATTTTAGATTTAAAAAAAAAAAATATGTATAGATCAAGTGTCATATGTTTTTAAGATTTAGAACATGCGTGTGTTCTCTCTCTCTCTCTCTCTCTCTCTCTCTCTCTCTCTCTCTCTCTCTCTCTCTCTCTCTTCCTCAAACCCTCCTAAGTTTCTTTCTTTTCGGCTTTGTTACACCAGCATTAAAGGATATGCTGATTTAAAACGTGCTTGTAATGTATCGTATAGCGTGCTTGCTTAGTATCGCCTTTTACTCAATTATTAGTCATTTTGGTATAGAGTACCGTGCTATTTACACAATGACTTGCCTGTACCCTGCTAATAACATCGTAGTTTCTCCTGGCAAAGAGTTCGCCCGTTACAGTTAAAACTGGCGTCGACTGGAGAGTATTAGCCCTGATTGGCCGCACACAAGTCAAGTTGACTGTAGCATTAGGCTTTGTTAACCCGTTAAGGCCCACGATCGCCCAGAAATGTTAAATGGCATTTCGTGGAGCCTGTCTGAGGCTGGTTCAGGACTCGGGAGACCACACTGCTCGCCCACACCACCCCCGCCACTTTATTGAAATCAGTGGCCATGTTTAAAACGTGAAAATGTCAGCGTGGGAATCTCTGAATATGTGGACTACTTCCTTAGTTTCGCCACCCTTCTGGTTCACATTCTTCCACTAAAAACCCTGAACTTTATGTCATCAGTACGTAAGGTACCTTTTTTAAAAAAAAATGTTTCTATTTAAATTAAATCATTCAATTTTCATGACACCTGTTCTATAATCATATTAGGACCACTGGGTCCTATTAGGACCAATGGGTCCTATTAGGACCACGGGTGTAGGATTGGTGGTGGAGGGGAGCCCTGGGCGGCACTTTTTTGGGCGGGGAGAGGCACTGTGTACAATACATGTTGGATGTGTATTCTTGGTCCACTGTGTACAATACGTGTTGGATGTGTATTCTTGGTCCAATGTGTACAATACATGTTGGATGTGTATTCTTAGTCCACTGTTTATGACATGTTGGATGTGTATTCTTGATCCACTGTGTATATGACATGTTGGATGTTTATTCATGGTCCACTGTGTATATGACATGTTAGATGTGTATTCATTATCCTTTGTGTATATGACATGTTGGATGTGTATTATGGTCCACTGTTTATATGACATGTTGGATGTGTATTCTCGGTCAACTGTATATGAAATGCTGGATGTGTTGTCTTGGTCTTGGTGATTTTCGCAAGCAATGATGGATGGCAAAAATCACCGATCTCCCAGGGCGTCATAAACCTCAGCTACTCCACTGATTAGAACCGCTAAACAGAAACAAAATGCGAAGACGCATGACATCTATTATCTCCTATGACCGGTGACATTCGACACCGCCACGTGTGGAAGCATGCCTAGGCCAGAACCAACCGATCGTTTTCAAACGGGCGTCTGTAGCCCCAATACCGACCAAACCAGAAACTATACGATAGCGGTGTTGCAAACGATGAGACTTTAGTTCACCAGTGTCAACAATATAAATTTAATATCCCATCGTTACGTTGCCTAAGGTGGTCGCCCCTTACACCAACGTTCCCCTGCCCGCTATCTGTTTTCAACCCGATCTTCTACTGCCCAGCGCCCTCTGCCCCCACTCCCCCAGTTCCTCAAACCCCCACACAATTTCACTGCAGCGAGATTCGGTTTCTGTGTTGAGTCATTAGCGGGAAGCTGTCCAGTGTAATGAAATCATTCTGTGACCGACCTCGACATGCCGTCTTTGATCGCTGTAAATATTGTCATCCGTTCAATACCTGCGTCTGGCAACAGATTTAACGCGCACGTGACGTAGGTTACTGTTTGAGATTGAGTGCACTGTCGATGACGAGGGTTAATTAAAATAGTTTCTCTTGTTACTTTTCAGTCCCACGGTGACTTATCTGGCAGCAGAGGGGTACATTATGGATGATGCGCCATGGCAGCCAAGTACACAGTTGCCATTGTGAGACACGGTGAGAGTGTGTTCACCAAACAGAATTTATTTTGTGGATTTGCACACGATGCAGATTTGACTGAAGTAGGGATCCAAGAGGCTATTCGAGCTGGTCAGGTGATTATATATTTTTTTTTTAAAACGTCTACATCCTTTGTTTTGTTTTATTATTATTGTTACAAAATTCCCCCCCCCCCCAAACCAGGGTAACCCCGTATTTTCGGTACGTTACCAGACTTTTTGAGCTAACCCCCCCTAATCAATAAAACATGTAAATAAAAAAATTGAACATGAAGTAAAGAATTATTGCACACGATGCAGATTTGACTGAAGTAGGGATCCAAGAGGCTATTCGAGCTGGTCAGGTGATTATATATTTTTTTTTTAAAACGTCTACATCCTTTGTTTTTTTTTATTATTATTGTTACAAAATTCCCCCCCCCCCCAAACCAGGGTAACCTCGTATTTTCGGTACGTTACCAGACTTTTTGAGCTAACCGCCCCTAATCAATAAGACATGTAAATAAAAAAATTGAACATGAAGTAGAGAATTGGTGACGTATGTGGTTCACTTAAACTTTCTGACTGATCACAAACATGATTAAATCATAAAGAGGCATAGCATAGACATCTCAATACTGACGCGCTCCTTCTGTGGTTTTGATTTATACGATTTTTTATTTTTAAATCGATAGCTTTTATACTTGTATCATATGATGCTTGGCCAGTGGTTTAAGCTGGGTGAATCCCAAACTCATGGACTGGAGCTCAATGCCCAGGAAAAGTCTAGACAAGCAAAAAAACACCAGCACCCGGGTTGGATGGGGCTCGTTAACCCTGGATGGCAGCTTCATACAAGGGAAGGCAAACTCTGAAGTCAAACCGGGTGATGGAGTCACGGGTGATGGAGTCACGTAGGCGGTATGACATTGATAGAATGAAAATTCGGACAACTTCTGTGACGTGGAACGCATAAAGAGCAATGTGAGACAACAATAAACACTGCTGGTCATCTACGGTATCCAGGAGTCTTGACCAAGTCTTGTATTTGGAACAAATTAAATAGGCAAGGACGAGAGAGTGAGACTGGCTAATTGAACAACCCTCCCTTACTTTAAGGGAAACATAGTTCGCATGCGAAGGGCGAACAATATCATAGATACCCAAAGGCCTAAGTTGGGGGCGGAGTTGAAGGTAACACCCACCCCCACCCACATTTGTTTTATAGGAAACATAGTTCGCATGCGAAGGGCGAACAATATCATAGATACCCAAAGGCCTAAGTTGGGGGCGGAGTTGAAGGTAACACCCCCCCCCCCCCCCCTTTCCCTTTTCCCCCACTTTTTTTTTTTTTTTTTTTTTTTTTTTTTTTTTTTTTTTTTTTTTTTTTTTGCATACGATGAAAACTGAAGACGGGTACCAGACATTTTCAAGAAAGAAACTTGGTCGAACGAAAGTTTGGTTCTATTGAGTTTTGGAAGAACAAAATTTGTCGATTTGTTTTGGGTTGTTTTTTTTTTTAGTCTGAGGATGCGTGATTTAGAAATGGTGTGATTTGTTCCAAGGAAAATTTGGTAGAATATTTTTGTATTTAATAGTTTCACTGGATGAAGTTGACCTTTCTTTGCCAACGTTAATTAATTCAGTGAAGCATTAGATCCAAAAATAAAATAATCGAGACACCTATACGTTATTCACTTCCGAACTTGTTTGAAGTTTTCGCATTTCCAAAAATAAAATATCGTCACGCTGCTTCTCAGTCTTAGTATACTCTTAAGCCATGGGACTACTAGCCAGTTGCCCAGCGATTCACGCTTCTGGGCCAGTGTGTCTCAATCCATTGTCCGCGGAACACTGGTACTCCGCGAAGCCACTGCAAGAGTTCCGCGAAGCCACTGCAAGAGTTCCGCGAAAAAATCAAATACAAAAAATGAGAACAATGCACAAAAAAATCATGACGTGTTGCTATTGTAATCAACAAACGCGAATGACAATTATACTTTTTTGTCCATTCTTAAATTAATTAAATTTACGTGGCTATGATATTGCACTGACCGACTCAGGATTTAGGGTTCTGCTAAAGTTTGAAGTTTCCAGGGACTTGGTAGGTGGATAACAAACTTGTTTGTTGTGCTGAAATAGTAAACTGTTTCTTTATTGAATTATTGGTTGTTAGTCGACGTGTCGTACCCTACGTTCTTATACATTGACCATTAGGATTTGTAAAAATAGTCACTTTAAGCACAGAGAATTTATTCTTTCGATGCTCACTTACAATGTAAATTGTGTAGCTCATTTAATGTACTAATCGCTCACCGTCCATGTCCGACTTCTGTTGTCATTGTCATTTTATTCAAAATAAAATATTTGTTTCGTTGTATTATCAATTTTATATTTTTCATAAAATATTTTTTTTTGCAAAAGTAATGGATAATTTCATCATTAAAAAATCTCGTCTTGATAACAATAATGACAAGGCTATAATACTAACACTAGTAGAAAAAGAAGCAGAAGATTTTTAAGAATTGGGGAGCAACCTCGAAATGTCAATCACTTGTACGATTCGGATTCACCTGGAGCGGAGATTTAGATATTAAGATTATCCGACTCGTACCTGCGTTTTGTGCGGAAAGAAACTTGCCGATGGTGCTTCCTAAATTTTTCAATTGACGTTTAAAAAAAATCGTTATTTACAAAATGAAGCATTCTTTAAAAGGTTTTTGGAAACCCAATTTAACAAACAAAAGTTGAAGAAAAAGAACGGGGAAAAGTAATAGAATTGAAAAAGATCAACATGCATCGTTTCAAATTGCCGAGCTAGTTGCATTAAAATTAAAGATATCAGTCACACGATCGCAGACTCTTTCATTTTACCCGCCTGGTGTGAAATGACACTTATATTTGGGGAAGAAGAAAAGGACATTTTCAAGATTCTGCGAAGCAGCATTTTCAACGATGGTTAATATTTAAAAAAAAGGAATGAGGGAGCCTGGGATATTTAGGGTAATAATTTATTCGTCCTAATATTTCTGAAATCTGCAAAGACCACCAACCTCATGCATCGCATTAACTTTGAGATTTAAAAAACAATTTTAATTAGTGTAATTTTTAAATAAATATATTTGCAACAACCATTATCGGTATTTGGGAACTTTTATAAAAGTAACACTTAAGCTGGGGTGGCCATCATTTTATAAAAGTAACACTTTTAAGCCGGGTTGGCCAACATTTTATAAAACAACGTATTTATTAAACTACAAATAACGAATTTGTTTAAACCCAACCAGGTCAAGGGTCACCAAAAGTGCTACTAGCATCTCTCCTATTGCTTCCCCGTTACGTTCAGACCAATCTATCCCAGCAAATTGAATGTGCAAGTGTGAATGTTTGAACATTTTCTAGGACCCCCCCCCCTCCCAAAACCCCATCTCATGTTTCCTTCGGGTGCCTTCTGCGCCTCCCCCCCCCCCACAGCAATGGTACAGCACCTATTTATCTACAAAAACAAAAAGGAACTGAATGTTAGAAATTAATGTGATTTTCTTGAATTTAACAATTATGTAGTTGGAATATTTCGCTAAACTGTGGCCAAAATCATACCCTCAAATTTGTTTGGGAGGGGCGGATCTGAAACAACCGGAATGAATCTATTTTTATGTATGGTGGGAGCGTTGGCTCTGATAGATGCCCTACCCCCCCCCCCCAATTAACGCCTTAACACCCCCCCCCAAACTTTTACTGCACATTGGTTGTTTTATGCTTGTCTTTTTGTTATTTTAATTTAAATTCGAACAAATATCCTCACTTTACACTCGCACCTCTTTGACTTAACTTTTTTTATTCAAACAAACTTCCGTTCGAACAAATTTATTTCAAAACAAACTTCCAGATATGGATGAAACCAACCTAAGTCCAAAATTTTAAACTGAGCCAAACTGGGAAAATGATTATACCTATCCACATAATGATTCTATCTATCCCAGGGGTCGGCAACCTTTTGAGACGGAAGAGCCAAAAGTTACAATTTACAAAATTACCCAGTTTTTAAGAGCCACTAACATTTTTATTTCAATATAATTATTTGCGCATGGAACTGGAGAGCCGCATCTGGGCATCAAAAGACCCGCATGCGGCTCGCGAGCCACAGGTTCCGACCCCTGACCTATCCACATGATTCTATCTATCCAAATAATGATTCTACCTATCAACATATTGATTCTACCTATCCACCACATATTGATTCTACCTATCAACATATTGATTCTACCTATCAACATAATGATTCTGCCTATCCACATAATGATTCTGCCTATCAACATAATGATTCTGCCTATCAACATAATGATTCTGCCTATCAACATAATGATTCTGCCTATCCACATGATTCTGCCTATCCACATGATGATTCTACCTATCCACATGATTCTACCTATCCACATGATTCTACATATCCACATAATGATTCTACCTATCCACATAATGATTCTACCTATCCACATGTTACTTGACTACCAGCTGTCTACGTCTCAATGCTTAACTTGTCTGGGATTGAGCGGCATAATTGCACTGTATGTTTGAGTTTGGTTGTTTTTCTAAACCCCGGAACAGTTTTCAGAAGCATCACCTTCTAACCTTAAAAGAAGAAACATTAACAAGGTCGTTGACCTCTTACTAACCTTGATAAGGTTTTCTTTTTCAACAAGTCTCTAATCTGTCGTCTGACAATCATCACTGAAGTGTTTACGAAAGTTGGACACACGAGCAATCCATGTCCCGATAGAAGTGCAGGTGACCTATTTCGGGGGGTGGCATTTTTCGTTCATTTTCTTTCACTATACACTACTGTGTGTAGTTTAATTTGTCGTGTATTCTGTAAGTGGTTTTTGTTTATGATGAGGGATCGCGAAATCAAGGACCAGCCCAAACGTCACAAACTCTCTCACTACCTCTGTGTGAAGAAGCGCTGTGACCTCGAAGTCAATGTCATAATCTAAGATTGATAATGAGTAGTAAGGAAACGTGATACAAACTTTCTGTAAACATATTAGAATGATTATTTATCTGTCATATATGAATTGTATAGTTTGAAGTTTAAAGCATTTTATGACAAATGTGTTTTGCATTAGAAATTTCACGATGGAGCTTAATACATTATACAATTCAGCATCAGTTGCCAAAGATAGACTTCTTACTTGGCCGTTAGCTCCTTATTTGCCCGTTAGCATCTTACTTGGTTGGTTGATACGGTGACCAGATTTTTCTGGGGGTAACCTGAACCATGTTAATGACAACCCCCCCCCCCACCCCCAAGCCTAAAACCTGTTCGAGTAAAAAATTGACCTAACGACACGCTTCCCTGAAGAGCAAAGAATCACATTAGAGTCAGCGGCGTAGCGAGGGGGGGGCAGATGTCCCTGGGCGCCAGATAGTTAGGGGCGCCAAAATGTGCTTTGATATTATTTTATTGATGAAAATAATGGGTTTGAGAGTTACAAAAAAGAAAAATGGGGCGCTTTAAAATTGATCTTGTCCCATGGGCGACAAACACCCTCGCTACGCCTCTGATTAGAGTCAATGATATGAACTACTACTATGTTACGGACGTACCGAATCATTACGTTGGATTAAAAGGAATCGGGCAGGCGAAATTTTTAATTGTGAACAATAAAGTAGAAAAGTACCAGAAGTGTTTCGTAAGTACATTATTAATAATTAATACTTTGCGTCTGGGACCGAATGTGACACATTTTGCTAGGTTCATAAAAAGAGAAAGGAGCTTAAAAACCACTAACAATTGACATGTTGTTAAAAAATAATAAGAAATTAACACAACCGACGTAAGTCAGAAGTATGAGGCACCAACAACTGAAATGTAATTATTAATTTCATCATCATGACACACTCAATATTTCTCAGATGAGTGGATAGCTCTCCGGACATCAGGGTTTTAAATAACAGATCATAAAACTTGTCGAAGGAATCACTGAAATAGCATTCGAAGGAATCACTGAAATAGCATTCGACAACCAGCAGATGTTTTAAGGTATCAGCTTTGACAACCAGCGTATGTTTCAACGTGTCAACTTTGACTTGCGATTAATCTGGTGTCCACGTGTTAATGGGAGGAAAGACTCTTCCAGTGGGATCATTCTTCCCTCTCCTGGGCAAAGTACCCATTCGTAACACCACCACCACCACAGGCCAGGACATTTCCTGACTTCCGGAGGAGGACGCCCGGGGGATGATGTGAAAATTAGGACTGTCCCGAATAAACCGGGACGCCTGCTCACCGTCGGGTCCCGAATAAACCGGGACGCCTGGTCACCGTCGGGTCCCGAATAAACCGGGAGTCTGGTCACCGTCGGGTCCCGAATAAACCGGGACGTCTGGTCACCGTCGGGTCCAGAATAAACCGGGACGTCTGGTCACCGTCGGGTCCCGAATAAACCGGGACGTCTGGTCCCCGTCGGGTCCAGAATAAACCGGGACGTCTGGTCACCGTCGGGTCCCGAATAAACCGGGACGTCTGGTCACCGTCGGGTCCCGAATAAACCGGGACGTCTGGTCACCGTCGGGGTTGAGCTTTTTTCACAAATGATTTATCTCCTTCCCAAAAGCATCGTTTCCACCCTTTTTATAATTTGACTCATTTTCACCCCGACACCTTTTGGATGTAAAGCACAAGTGCTACGATTACTCCTATTACTATTTTTAAAAAGAAAAACCGCTGCTATTTTATGTAAAGGCGTATAGTTACATTCTGAATAGATTTTTCTCTTAATACCGCAAACGAATTTACCGCCTTTTTGTTGTTTTTTTCCCATGCACACAACCTTCTATAACCTAAACCCAGCTGTCATCAAACCATAATTGAAATGTCATTAAGGCGACAATGATACCTGATGTTCCGTTATGAAATGCAAATGATAGTGATTTAAGTATCTAATGCCCATGAACCAGCTCAAAAGCTTGTTTGTTGTTTTTTGTTATTTTGTTTGTAAATGTTATGGCATGTTTGGATCAAGTCTGACAGGGCCTGGGATCCACTTTTCCTACACCTACCAATTAATTCCCAATTTGCTGGTTGTCTGTGGTTTATGCACAGGTATCTAATATCAGGTATCATTATCCTGAATGACCATGTACAGTATACAGGGTTTCTTTCAGCTATATTTTCAGGGGGGCATATTGCCCCCCCCCCCCCCGAAAGCCCAGCTCCCCCCCCCCCCCCCCCAAAAAAAATTCCAAAAAAAAAACCACCGGAAATGGCGGGGCCGCCCCCCCCCCCGAAAAAACTTGAGGGGCCGGGGGGGGGGGGGGAATTTCTGTAAGAAACACTGACAGTATATCATTTTGAATATAAGTTCTGACTTATACAAAGCCAATTTCATAATTTGTAATGAAAATAATCACGTAATGATGCAAGTCCCTCTATTTCTAGTTAACTCTTGCTTATCCTAAAAACCCTATTGCTTGATTAACCTTTCATAAACTCAAATTTGATGTTTTAGTTCCACTTTGCTATATATCAGTTTATTAATGGAGCAAAGTCCATCTGGTGTTTCAACTGTTCCATCAGTAATACATTTGTGTGCACTGATAGCTTGATTTATTTACTCAGACTCTTAATTGATTTTCTTAACCACTTTTCATGCTCTGTTACCTTAAATTATAAAATAAAGTACAATTAAATGTTTTTAAAGCCACGAGTGCTAGTGATTTTTGTTTCAAATAATTTTCTTTAAAAAGCTATTTCCATTTCCTAACCTAAAACGACTAATGTTGATCTTCAAAAATTATAATTTAACTTTCGTCTCTATAGCTTCTCAAGGAAAACAATCTTGAATTCGACATTGCTTTTACCAGTGTATTGAAGAGGGCTATTAAAACATTGTACTACATTCAAGAACAATTAGATTGTCATTGGCTCCCCGTTGTTAAATCATGGCGCCTAAATGAAAGACATTATGGGGCTCTGCAAGGCCTTCACAAATCTGAAACGGCTGAAAAATATGGAGAGGCTCAAGTAAAGGTGTTGTATAATTTTTTTTAAAATTCTCCAATAACTTCTCAAAAAAGTTTAATGTTGCAAGATTTGTCTCCCTTTAAAAGATCAAGATTTTCAAATTGTATTGTGACGAAATGTATAAAAATAATTCTTGAAACCAGAGTTTCACCTGTAACAGAGAGGACGACACAAATGTAGTAAATCTTATTGCTGTGAATCTTTTTTTAAAAAAGAAAAAGGAAACAAACTAAAAAAAAAATTAATAAATGGATTTTTAAAATTATTTTTGGCAAAAAAAATGGAATAAATTGTTCCTTGCATCCAAAATGTAAAGAAACAAATCCTGTATCTCCTCAATGTATTTTTCAGCTTTGGAGGAGATCTTATGATGTTAGACCTCCCCCGTTAGACAGAAATGACGAACGGTGGCCTGGTAAAGCTAGGCAGTATGCTGTAAGTTCTTAACACAATCTAAAACTAAAAGTTAAGTTTCACTTTGTATGCTATTGCTATTTGTTTTGAAGATAAAATAGTGTTCCTACAAGCAAAATTAAACTATTTTACTGCAGGCCATGGACCAGGGCATGATTCCAACAACCGAAAGCTTAAAAGACACAATTCATCGAACTCTGCCATGCTGGTATGACCAAATAGTTCCAGCCATTAAGGTCAGCACTGGATTTATTGAAAGATTGCGTTTGTTTTTAAATATGAATGACCGTTAAATAAGACAGGTTATCATTTATTGTTTTTTAAATTTCTATTAAGAAAGTGATTTAATCTTTCAATCCAAATTTACTTTTATCTGTTACAAGCAGTTTTATAGATACTAGATTAATTTTTAATACTTACAGATACTGAATTTTGTGACCTTTCATTTTACGCCTGTAATATGAAATTGTTTTAAAAATGACCCTTGAATCATATATACTAAATGTGCTCCTTATCTCTCTTATTTTACAGTGTGGGAAAAAAGTTTTAATCATTGCTCATGGCAACAGTTTAAGAGGCATCATCAAATATCTGGATAAGGTTTCAGATGATGACATAGTCAGTTATGAGGTTCCAACAGGTATCCACTTTTTACTTTATCTGAATTCTGATTGCTTGTTCATTTAAAAATATACCCAATAGTTAGCTTTTCATTGATACGTGTATAAACTCAGTTGATGGCAATGAGTTTTAATTTTTATTGGCAAACTCTTTTTTAAAAAGTAAAAGTAATCCCCTCACATTCATAATTTTTACTATTCTTTTTCTTCTAGGCATTCCAATGGTATATGAGCTGGATGAAGATCTCCAGCCTGTCAAGCGCTACTATCTGGCATCAGACGAGGAAGTGGCAGAGGCTCAAGCCCTTATAGCAAATCAAGGGAAAATAATTCAGAAATGAATCTAGTTTTAATACCTTAAAAATTCCTGTTAAATACTTTTGGGGACTTTTACCTTAAATTATCACTGGGTGTGTCTGCATTTGTAATGTTAAATGCATCTTGACTGATTTCCGGTTTTTCTCCTTTTGATATGTGACAAAATGGCTATTCATTGCACACAATTTCACTTATTGTTTCTTTTTTGTTGAAGCGCACACTTTTTTTTCTCTTTCTTTTGTTGTAGCGCACCTTTTTTTTTGTCAAATTAAATTTTGTCAAATTTTCAACATGGTTGTTTCTTTATTTCACCATGGTTAAGATGATTTAAAGGAATCAATAAAAAGTAAAATGGTGATCAGCTGTGTATTTATTTTTCCCAAAATGGAAATTAATGGCTTAAAACAGTTAAACTAAACATCAAGTGAACAAGTGAAAATTAAGGCAACATAAGTGATGACCAATTTTAAAGAAAGAAATTTGAAAGGAGCATCCATACTTTTCCTGGATTCATTTTTAATAAACTATCGGTACCGGTACTTCCCTGAAATAAGTTTAGTTTAAATATAAATGCAAAAAAATTATTTGTAGTACTTCATTATTTCTTTAATTCCAGTGGTAGTTGAAAAATATTCATTTACAGCACTGACGCTTAGATAACACGAAGGGACTTTATTAAAAGATGTCATTATTTCAATAATAGTTATGGCCCTTAGAAAGAGGTAGCCTTATGGCTCAATGACAAGGGGATATTAATACATTGGACTGGTTGAAGAAAAATCAAATGATAAAAATATAGTTATATCTTAAGGTGTAGTGTTAAATCTAGTAAAAGTTACAGCATTTTGACATGTTAAAAAAGGCTTACAGTTTAATATGTCCCATCAATTTTAGTAAGTCATAGGATGGGGATACCAGTCCCATTTTATTTATTTATTTTAAAAAACTTTTATGCGATATGAGTCCAAATATATTTTTTAGATATACGTATAAAAGTCAGATTTTTTAAAACTGAAATTTAAGCAGCTTATTGAAAAAAAACTTAATGTAATGTAGAGCTAAATTTAATTTAAATGTATACTGGGACTTTGATCCATTTCATGAAAATCCATCTGGTATACTTATTGTGACAACCTTTCTAGAGGATCATCTAAGGCCCAAAACATATTTGATGCTGTTTGGTCTACTCATCTGTAGGGAGAGTTATTTCCCCTGGCATTTAAACTAAAATTAGATTAATTAAATCCTACAGAAATAGTTCATACCAATTTTGAATACACCAAAGATATTTTAAAATTGTATTACCTCTCACATTCATAAAAAGGGGCTAAACAAATCAATTCTTCCGGAATTCAAGATTTAAGTATGTGGATTTTTTTTTTTCCCCCCACATAAAGTTTAAGACCAAATTTTTATAGAACCAATCTTGATTTATTGGGGGAATTTATCAGTTTTCCAGCTTTTAGAAATCTATGACAGAATATGTATGGCAATATATCCATTTTGATCAAATATAATATTACTCTGTCTTGGCAAAATCTTTTTTAAATATATTGATTCAAATATTGGTTTTCATTTTATTAATGAAATAATAACTTTTATCAAGTCATACATCAAACATTTACTTCAAATCATCTTTGCACATCAATTATTAAATATCTGAATTTTAAAATTCCTTGCAGTAATTGTCATGAAACGCATGACAAAAAAAATTAGGCACATTTTGTTATTACCATACTGAAATTATCAAAATAAAGAAAAGTGATTTTATCATAACATTTAGTAAACAGAACAAAGATTGCTTGCTTCATATTTATATTTGGAATAAAGATTTACATAACTACCCGGTATTTAAAATTATAATTAATATTGAATTATATTAAATGTTAATACATGTGAAAATTAACTCTCATACCAATGTATGAGACTATGTAAGACTTATATGTAAAGATGTTTTTGTACACAGATCTTAGTATTGAGTTAGTGTAAAATCAAAGTTATAATTTGGTGAATCTTCATTTGGAAATAAAAAAGGAATGACAAAAGAAGAAATGTTAAAAATAAATTTTTGGGTAAAAAAACTCATCTCTGGGTTTTCTACCTTCTCAAGAATAGATTTCATGTTTTCTTATTATAATTTTAAAAAATGAAATTTTCATTGGGCTAAAGTTTAAATACTGACTCTTGACAGAAATATCCAAGGTTTTAGAAAAGAAGCATTTTTTTTTTACTTACATGCCTTTTTTCCTCATTAGCACATTTGAACACTAATTATTTGGAACAAGCAAAAATAATAATACAAAACATGTGCATTAAGTCTACCATTTGTAAAGATCTCGCATTTTAAACAAGTTTATGTTATAAATTAATTATGAGTTGAAATTTTTCATTATTATATTACTTTGAGCTGTTGAGTTCTGTATTAAAGAGAAAGTTTTATGAAATGGAAAACTAGAAATTCAATTTAATATAACCAGTTCACTTTTGCATTCAAAATAGATTTATTTGGTATTTGACACCCTTGTGGACTTAAGAGGTAGGCCTATTTTATTTTGTATTTATCATTTTGCAAATGAAATAAATGGGTCAAAATACTTATGTATTAACAAAACTATAGCAAGGACATTTTTTAATCATTTAAATATTTGTGAACTAATTAACATGAATATGCATCTACATTTAGCACATATATATTTCCATCTTTTGCCATTGCTTTTATATTCCAACAAATTCATTTACCTTTATTTACTTCAGTTTTATTATGGTATATTACATTTATTACTTTCACCATCATTCACAAAAAATGGAAGCACACTTGGTTTTCTTCATCCCCTTAGTAAAAAATAGTTTAAAAGATTTATGTTAATAATAAAATGTTATGGAAAGAAAAATGTGCAATAGATAAATTGTCCAATAATTATCCTACTTTAAATAAAATTAAGTCATCTATTTTTTAAACTTTTGCTGAATTTAAATAAACATCATGCAATTTATTCATTGAAATTAAATCAAAATTAGAATGTAAGAAAACCTTTTTAAAGTTAAAAAGCAATCTTCAACAATGTATGCATTTCATCACACAATCAATCACAGCACATTTGGAAGATAAAAATGGGAAAGCTATTAAAGTTGTTAAAATGGTGGGGAGAAATTTCATCTTCTCATTCCTAACCAAAAGAAAAATTAAACACGTATAGAATGATGAAATCATTTATGAAATAAAATGTTATTTGAAAATCATCTCATTGCCACCACAATTCATTTACCAAATCAAAATCTTTTATCTCTTCAAACCAATCATTTGCTTAGTTAATTTATCAACAGTATCAATTTTAACATTTGTCTTAGTGCAGAAAGTGAAGAAATCATTCATTCAATTACATTATCTACTCATGCATTTTATGTATATATATATATATATATATTTATATATATATCATTCTTTAGCATAACCAACATTTTCTCATTTACACTTCCATCATTTCAAAAATTTATAAGATGCGATATAGAGATGTGAAAAAACATTGCATGTTTGAAAGGAGAGATTCAAAAGTAGACTGCAAGGAAGCTAGGTGAAACTGCACTATTAAATCCAATGGATAAAACCTGAAGGCATTTTTAATGATCTCATAAAATGAGTTTTTGTCATGGAATTCAACTAGTCCGCAATTGGTGGCTGTAGTTACTTGAAAGGTTTGAACCCTCAGAAAAATTAAGCTTTGGACTTAGAGATCAAGTTATTATTGTCATTTAAGTGGTTGGACTTATTTTACAATAAATATATATTTCATTAAATTTTCCCTCAATGAAATTTTGATGCAGTAATTTGCAATCAAAAATCAGCTTTACTCTTTGGCCATTTTCTATTTCATGTGATTTCATTGTGTTCACTTTTATTCTAAACTTTAAATTATGAGCTCCCCTCCACCACCCACTCCTTTCTTGGACATTTCCCCAACACAGATGAATTTTTTTTTATAAATACCGTACCAGGTAACGATACCTTTCATAATATTAATATGCTTAAAGTAGAAAATATTTGTTTTAATTTGTAAGCCTAAGCATTCTTTATCAGTGTAATGTAAATAAATGTTAATACTTATTACATTTTTATTTACAATAAATGAAAACTGTTGCCGATTGTATCCGGAAATTTGATCGAAAGAAATTTCGTCGACGGTAATTTGATTGAACGGAAATATGGTCGAATCTTTTTTTTCCGTTTTTACGTTTAAATTTTGCTTCAAATGTCTTTTTGAACGCATTATTTTGTTTTACTATATAGTATAGTGCGTTCAAAAAGATACTTGACGAAAATTTTAACGTGTGAACTGAAAAAAAAAAAGGATGCGACCAAATTTCCGGTCGATCAATTTACCGTCGACGAAATTTCTTTTGATCAAATTTCCAGTAACCGTTGCCGATGATAATAAAGCTCTATAACTGGCCTTGAAATACCCTTAAATGCCGTCACTTTCCAACACCTGTCAAATATTGCTTTCTCGTATTCTGTGGTTTTATTGACTTGTTCGATCTCAGGCTCAGGTAAAAATTGACATGAATAAATAAGCACAAATTATGGTAAGTAATTCTACAAAGAAACATAAATTGCGACATCTATTGGTTGGTCTATATTTATTGTATTGTATACTTAATCACAGGCTCATCTGATAATAGGCAGATCTGCATAATAGCAAAAATTATAAGCAATCTTAATGTTAAGTCGTTTCATTTTTGGTCAAAGCAATAGCAAGGCCGAGAACTCCTGCGATGACTACCAGTGTGCCTAGCACTAGGACCGTTATCCATATACACTTCCGGTGTCGAGGATTGGCTGTGTTGACCTGAGAAAAAGACGAATAAAAAAATATATATATAAAAAATTATTAATTTAGTAAGATTGCATAACGTGCTGCCATCTAAAATGGTATAATTTATAGTCAATATTTAAGGAAAGGCGTTATTAGTCATGGGGATTATTCAGATCCTAGGACCGACCGCTGGAAAAAGTACCCTTTAGCCTTTATAAATGTTTCATTTTTAAAATACTCCAGTAGTATAATGATTATAATAAGTGGATTTTATAAAAAGAAAAATAGAGAGATAATATAGACAATACTTGATATTATTTTGAACGTGTAGAACAGAATATTTAAATGCAACGTTTTGAGTTTTCTCCATTATAGATCAGCTTCAGAGTGTTGGAAGAGGACAACTAGAAAATGAGATCGGAAGTTGGAATACACCTAGCATAACAGACGGAAGCGAGAAGACCACTAGCCTATGAGAACGGACGTTGGAAGACACCTAGCATATCAGACGGAAGCGAAAAGACCAGTTGCCTATGAGAACGGAAGTTGGAAGACACCTTAGCATATCAGATGGAATGGAAGCTAGAAGACCACAAGCCTATGAAAACGGAAGCTAGAAGACACCTAGCATATCAGATGGAAGCTAGAAGACCATTAGCGTATGAGAACTGACGCTGGAAGACACCTAGCATGTCAGTCAGATCGAAGCTAGATGACCACTAGCCTAGGAGAACGGGCGTTGGAAGACACCTAGCGTAACAAATGAAAGCGAGAAGATCAGTAGACTATGAGAACGGAAGTTGGAAGAAACCTAGCATATCAGATGGACCACTTTCCTGTCAGTGCCAACATGAAGTTGGACATCCACTGGAATATCAGTGTGAAACTGGTAAACCTCTTGCATATGGGAACGGAAGCTAAACATTTTCCAGACCAAATACCTAAGAAGGATCCCTAGAATCTTATATCCACATACAATTTCAAATGACTAGCCAATTACGTATGGAAACTATTTCAGCGTCAGCATCTGTAACGGACATTGCTGCAGGGTTCCATCAGTAGAATGCCACCAAGCATACTTTGCGGGACATAACTAGGACTACGACTAAAACGAAACCGCGGAAGACCTTTGTGTGACATGACGTAGGGGAAAACAAAAAAAGATCTACCCAAGAGAGACCTGACCATGGTGTGTTACACAGAAGCAGCCGATAGACATAACGTGTCGTTACTTTAAGCACCATTTGGCGCCGAAGTCTGAACCTATTTTGGGGATCGATCTGGGTTTGTCGCTATCATTTCTTTACATTTTTAATCTGTCTTTATACCAAGGGCGTTATTTCAGGTTCTCCAAAGTTGTTTATTACTGGAGCCGCCACAGTACATAGCAATTTAAATAAAACTTGCAAGTTCAGAAAGGGGGGGGGGGGTGCCCAACCTTGCCCTACCCAAATGTCGTCCCTGCTTTAAACTTACTAGTTTTATTTACTATGGAAGTGAAGGACGAGTAGACTATCTGCACATAGCAGCAATTCTTGTAAATATGTTTCATTGTACTTTTTTTATATACGTGGTTTTATAGTTTCCAATAGGGTAGCAGTTTTCAAGATGGTGTGTCACTGCAAGGCTTCGACCCGTTATCAAAGTATTGGAACAGTAAAAACTCGGTCAGGAGCAGATTATATTTTTCAAATTCTCAGCTTTTATTATATTCAATTAATCATATTTAAAGTGTTATCTAACTTTGAATGATCTGATGTCATCGTCTCACTTTGAATGATCTGATGTCATCGTCTTACTTGAATGATCTGATGTCCTTGTCTCACTTTGAATGATCTGATGTCATCGTCTCACTTTGAATGATCTGATGTCATCGTCTCACTTTGAATGATCTGATGTTATCGTCTCACTTTGAATGATCTGATGTCATCGTCTCACTTTGAATGATCTGATGTCATCGTCTCACTTTGAATGATCTGATGTCATCGTCTCACTTGAATGATCTGATGTCATTGTCTCACTTTGAATGATCTGATGTCATCGTCTCACTTTGAATGATCTGATGTCATTGTCTCACTTTGAATGATCTGATATCATCGTCTAACTTTGAATGATCTGATGTCATCGTCTCACTTTGAATGATCTGATGTCATCGTCTCACTTTGAATGATCTGATGTCATTGTCTCACTTTGAATTATCTGATGTCATCGTCTCACTTTGAATGATCTGATGTCATATGTCACTGTCTCACTTTGAATGATCTGATGTCATCGTCTCACTTTGAATGATCTGATGTCATCGTCTCACTTTGAATGATCTGATGTCATCGTCTCACTTTGAATGATCTGATGTCATCGTCTCACTTTGAATTATCTGATGTCATCGTCTCACTTTGAATGATCTGATGTCATCGTCTCACTTTGAATGATCTGATGTCATCGTCTCACTTTGAATGATCTGATGTCATCGTCTCAATTGAATGATCTGATGTCATTGTCTCACTTTGAATGATCTGATGTCATCGTCTCACTTTGAATGATCTGATGTCATTGTCTCACTTTGAATGATCTGATATCTTCGTCTCACTTTGAATGATCTGATGTCATCGTCTCACTTTGAATGATCTGATGTCATCGTCTCACTTTGAATGATCTGATGTCATTGTCTCACTTTGAATGATCTGATGTCATCGTCTCACTTTGAATGATCTGATGTCATATGTCATTGTCTCACTTTGAATGATCTGATGTCATCGTCTCACTTTAAATGATCTGAAGTCATCGTCTTACTTGAATGATCTGATGTCCTTGTCTCACTTTGAAAGATCTGATGTCATCGTCTCACTTTGAATGATCTGATGTCATCATCTCACTTTGAATGATCTGATATCATCGTCTCACTTTTAATGATCTGATGTCATCGTTTCACTTTGAATGATCTGATTTCATCGTCTCACTTTGAATGATCTGATTTCATCGTCTCACTTGAATGATCTGATGTCATTGTCTCACTTTGAATCATCTGATGTCATCGTCTCACTTTGAATGATCTGATGT